TTAATTTGAAATATTAATTAAAAAGGCTGATGACTGCAGGTTCACTTAGGAATGCCTTGCAAGAACATTTGTCAGGCTTTGTGTTTCCCAGGGGCAGTACATTAATAAAGTGTATTGATAATTTGTTTGTTTAACATCTGAAACAAATTGTGCTGCGAACACGGGAAAAACTTTGTTGCATTGTTTGACATCAACACAATGATGTCACTGATTAAAAACTCCAGCTGGTAGAATATCAAAGTGCACTACTATAGGACATGAGATCTCGAGACTGACTTAGACTTTGCAAAGACTGAATGAATGTGAATTGATTAGTCAATTCCTGACTGTTACAGTAACACTGACCCACCTGGACAGTGGATTTCTGACTATGCGATATTAGTTGAACCATTGTGAGACATGACGCATGAACTTTGTCTGACTATGCATGATCCCTGCATGACTTGATGACTATGTAACTTGATATTTAACATTGTTGATTCTTTTTGACAGGAGAAAGTTTTCCTGATGATGAGTCATAGGACTTTGAAATAACATTGTATGAGCAGATGGGTACTCTGAGGTATCTTACTTGGGGAAACATGGTCTCTATGGTTTTGAGGACAATGTTTCCAGGAGGGGTATAATGGGTTTATTGTTCTTGTTCAAGTGAATTTGTTAACCCTCACATGATCCAGAGGGCAAATGAAACAACTTTTTGCCTAAACAACTTTTTTCCTACATGGTTAAGCTCCTGATTGGGTTCTGCTAAAGACAGGTATGATTAAATATATTGTTCGAAGTTGAGATCTGATTGGTTTCAGCACCGTGGCTGAACAATTTTGCAGAAGATGTTTGTTGTGTGCTTAGGAAATTGTGGGTAAGTAAAAACACAACACAAACAACATTTCATGGTTTCAAGAAGTTTACAAATGATAGGTAAGACTCTAAGGCCTAGTGGTTGACTGTAGGCTGTTAACCCAGAATGCAAGTGCTATTTTCTACCCAGGTCAAAGCTGTCTTTCCCTTGCAATCTGAAGGAGGGAAGATGGATCATTCTGAGGCAGATGTTTAAGGAGCTGCTCTGGAGGCAAACTGGAGTGTCAATGAAGGCAGCTGGATGACTCCCTTCAGTTCCAGCTATTCTTCCACTGCTATTGTCTTATAGGTTTGGGTCAACACGAAGAACAAAACCCAAGATGTCTGAGATGATTTACAGCCAAGTATATTAGTAATCTCAAACTCCAGAGAAGAAGATCTACCGTAAACTGTTCTTTTAAAGAAGTCTCAGTTTTCTGACTACAGTTCCGTCCAATTCAAATGGTAATGATGTTGCTTCAGATGTCATCAAGGGATTTTGCTATGAGATGGGACATCACAGCATGAAGGCTAAGATAGATATTCCATCTAAAGGCTACGCATGAAGATCGGAACGTGCACACCCTGAAGAAGTGTTCACTGGACAATATAACAGAAGAAGAAAGAGTGTACGCCAGTTACATCTTGCTAAAGTGTTTTGGACCATTTTTTATTATGTATAATCAAGTATTAAATTGAATGTTACTTTGTTATTAGGTTATGTATGTAAGTTTGTTAAACTTGAATGGGACAAATTGATTTTTTCCTCTTAAGCATACTGAGGTTTTTAAATGATTTTCCATTTAAGTAAGAGTAAATTAGCGCAAATTGTCTTTTCTTCCACTTTTTGTGTTATAATCAAAGAGGTGGTTTTTTGGCTATTTGTGAGTAGTACAGGTAACCCTGTGACTTCTGCCTTGAGTAAAATGATTATTCATTGATAAATATTTTTCAGAAAGTAATTTTGGACTTTCAAGGGCGGAACTCAGTAGGTTATCTGTAAGAGTTTTTTTTGTATGATCTGGAAACTTAAATTAATAAAAGGAGGGAATGTTATGTCAAGTCTTGGACCTTCTCAATATAACTATAATTTAATTACAGTTTCCAGATATTGGAAGAGGCCCATGAGTCTCTTTGCTAATTATCAATGGTCTTTGCAATTAACAGCAGATGTACCCATGTTAAGTAAATTGGCAAAGGTCAGAGGAACTCCAAGAGAGGTCTTCCTCAGATATAATACAGTTAAAGTCTTGTTAGTTAGTGGTTCATATCCAGCATGCATTAGCTAAGAAACGATAAGGATGTTGGTGTGTGACATCTGGAACTTACATGTTGCTCTGATGTTGGTGCGTCCAAGTTTAGGAGACCTGACAATGTGTGTGCGTTAAACATGATTAGGGAACATGTTCGTGTGTCATTTAGGAAACGTATATTTGGCCTGTGTTTTCTTGTGTTCGTGGGACCATTTCTGCGATTGGTTGCTGTTGAAGCAAGGTAATGTTTCCCCATTGTTGTTTGGTGGTGCACAACTAAATAATAATGATTAATCTCAACTATTTCTGTGTTTGTGTTTCATTGATTCCTCTCTGTTTCATTCTTTCCTGTTGTGTGAGTGCTGGATCGCCACAATACTGCAGTGAGCTTTTATTCTATAAAACGTTTTTAAAATCTACTTTATAGCTTGTAGTAACTCACGGGAGGCTTCTTTTATTTTATTTGTATTCATAATCATTTTTATTTTTCGTCAGAATGTATTATGGTGCATTAGTTACGAATTTTTGTTCTCAAAAAACAGTGCATTGTGTGTAATACAACTGTGATTTTTATTAAATGAGTTAGTTTTTAAGGAAGGCCAAAGCTTCAGCTGTGTCAAATAGATTGTTCCCTTTAGTTAACGTTATTTAAAAGATAATTATATTCCTATTTGATCATGTCCCCTTTATTGTATTACGGACCCAGAGAGCAATGTGAGTGTCCATTCCCATTCATTTTACACCCGGAAGTAAGTATTCTCCTTACTGTCGATTGATTTTACAGTGATATCTGCACGACTCATCGACTCAAAAACACCAGATTATCCTTGTTAATTACACAACATTGACCTGCACCTCCTACTGGTTAAAGCACGTTATTACACGTTTAGAGTAATTGCAATGCAGGTAGATTGTGTTGCTTTTTAATGACTGTTTTAAAATGCCTTTTTCTTAATGTCTTTCATTTTGGTAAAGCACTTTTGAATGTGTTATATTTGATGAAAACATTTAAATATTAAGAGTACATACTCTTAATATAGTGGGAAAGTGGAAGGTCAATGATATAAATAATATAGAATAGAAAATATCAAGAAGATACTGTAAGTGATCTCTACAATAAAACAGTTTAGTGCCTGATAGGAGGATGTGCAAAACAGACAAAGTAATAATGCTTTATTTAAACATTAAAGAATACTTTAGGTTAAGGTCTTCTTTTAAATAAGAAAAAAGCTTTGGGGGTATCTACAGATATTAAGCCTGACAAAGTACTTAACGTCTAATATATTGCATGGTTTGTTTTGGAACTTGACAATCAACTTTCCTGCAATGATAACTATGTTGAAGCACTTATTTTAACTGATAATATACATATTAATTATACTCTAGGACACGTTCTAAGCACATGGTGTAGTCCCATAGCTGAGGATTCTGGGTAGTGTAGTGTCTTCTGCCATCCACACACTCCAAAAAAATATTTGTTTCTCCGAATCGAAAGGGGAAAATACAAAAGCATTGTACACAATTTAAACCAATCAATGTTGTGTAATTAACAAGGATAATCTGGTGTTTTTGAGTAGTGCAGATATCACTGTAAATAAAATCAATCGACAGTAAGGAGAATACTTACTTCCGGGTGTAAAATCCTCCGTTATCCAATGGGAATGGACGCTCAGCTCTTTGGGTCCGTAATACAATAAAGGGGACATGATCAAATAGGAATATAATTATCTTTTAAATAACGTTAACTAAAGGGAACAATCTATTTGACACAGCTGAAGCTCTGGCCTTCCTTAAAACTAATTTAATAAAAATCACAGTTGTATTACACACCATGCACTGTTTTTTGAGAACAAAAATTGGTGAATAATGCACCATAATACATTCTGACGAAAAATAAAAATTATTATGAATACAAATAAATAAAAGAAGCCTCCCGTGAGTTACTACAAGCTATAAAGTAGATTTTAAAAACGTTTTATAGAATAAAAGCTCAATGCTGGACGTTGTAGAAATGCGTGTGTGCACCACGACAAAGGAGCTTCATTCACTTTACATTGGGGTTGTTTGCGTGGTGCCGACACGTAAATGTAGCAAAGTTCGTGACTCCACCACGCACTGCGGTGTTAAGGAGTCGTGGTGGAGTCACGCATTCTGGTGAGACCAGGTTGATCCAACCCATATGGAAATAAAAGAGCAGTATTTTTTCTGTACTGTACTAGTTTGCCCTAGTAAAGCACATTATCCTAACAACAATTGTAAAATAGTTTTTTAGTCATTTGAATATTTCTTAATCTTACCACTCATACTATTCAACGTTTTTTCGCAAGACTTTTGAAGTATGGGCCTAAAAGTATTATATTTTATCTTCAGTATTAGTCTCGTCCTTTTATGTATTTTTTATTTGAATCTGTCTGGTTTTAATAACCATTCTGTTGTCTTACATTTGATATCTATGTCAAATGTTAGCTTAGTTACAGGGTAGCTTTTGTCATATATGGTACATTTGAGGGCAATTGTAATGCTGTGTTACACGGACCCTGACTTGCTTAATACGATTTTTCTTTTCTTCTAACAATTTAAGTGTTTTGAGTTAAATAACATTTCTACATAAAGTGTATTTTTAATCTATTTATATAGTAGTTTCATAGTCTAATAGAGCCATTTTCTAATGCTTTTCGCTATTTGAAATGGCCATGCATCAAGTTTATTTTATTATTATTTCTAATTATTGTTGAATCTGTAGTTGATTTCACCTTAAAGTCTGCCATATTTGCTTAATTTAGACCATGGGAGCCATTTAATCTTGGACAAGGGTTATTTGTAACATCTTATAATTCACCAATCCATAATGACACAGAACTAATAAAAAGTATTCTTATTGGCGCATTTCTCAGTAAATTGCCAACTTACTGCACGTTGGGCCTTCAGTCCAGTTTCCTGAGATGCAAAAGATTTCTTTGGTCTCTGCTCCCTCTGCACTATATCCATCTTTACAATTATACTGCAGTTTTGAGCTTGCAGAAAACACCTCCTGGTATCCCTTACCAATGATGACTGCATGGGGGATTTTAGGGGGATCACCACATGATTCGGTACTCCCTGAAAATGAGGTTATTTTGTAAAGTGGATTTAAGATTTAGACACTGATTTGATTCTGGTAACTGACATTTAAAAAAAAAATAAGACAGACTTACTTTCACAGATTGGCACAGAGGACCATGCTCCGTTTATACACTGCGCTGTGGTGTCATAGTCTTTGTGTTTATATCCTTCGTCACATCTTACCCAGATTTTGTCTCTCTCCCCATACCAACCATTTGTGCTTACATCGTAGTTTCCATTTGGGATAGTCAGTGGCACACAGGCTTTTTCATCTGAGTTGGAAAATAAATTAATACAATTTGAAATAAAGTGCAGCACACGACAGCTCCTATTCATTGTCCTTTATTCAGTGGACGTTAGGGCCCCCAAAGACTTTTTCAAGATCAACAATGAAGAAGAAAACATTATACCATCTTGACAGTCTTTTCATTTTTAAAATGCCATTATTTGAGTGAACAATATCTCTACGGTTTTATTAAACCAAACATTATTGTAAAATGTAACCAGAACTCATATATTTATTTTATTGTTTTATATTAAAGAAGGTCGGCACAAAATGAACCAGCATCATTCAGAAATGAAATAAAAAGGAATCTTTGACAACTCTTGAAATCTTATGCTAAAATATGTGTGTGCCGCCGGATTGTGTTGATGTTTGTATAATTCATCTCTGTTTGTTGGTGACATTGGTGAAGATGGATGGAAACATTTTACAAAAAGCTGACTAATGTACAACAAATGTATCATTAAAAAGTAAGTGTCATACAGGTACAAAAGCAGGACATTATCCTTTAAATCCCAATCAGAATGAAATGAAAATAAATCTTTGGGCAGTACTGAAAGGTTTTTCCAAAAGGGATAAAAGAAAAAGAAAGGTATAACACTGTACACTGAGAAACACAACGTAGAGTGGCTCATTTAAACAAACCACCAGAAAGATTATAGAAAACGTACCTATACATTGGGGTTTAGGAGACCAATTGCCATTTTGACACCTGCTGGTCCCCCACCAGCCCTTCACTGCTGGTTTAAGTCCGTCATGACAGGCATAACTGAGTGTGGCTTCATGATTATAAGCTGATTGTCCAGGGGAAAAAAACCCGCCATTCAGACTGGGAGCAGGACATGGCTGAGCTGCACTTTGTGCTGAAATATAACGATAAACAGTCAAATACTTTATATATATCCCTGATATATTCAGGCAAATTCAGAAGTTTCTAAGTAACAGAGTAGAATATGCAGCACTTGTGGATTCCAAACCAGGAGAAAAACTCCAAGATATCTCAGGCACATTTTGGCAGGAATGAAATAATAAAGCCAAATAGGTTTCAGTTAAGATCAGGACCAGTTAATAATTGTTGAGAGCAATCAGCCAAAAAGCAAAGAAGTTAAGAAATAGTAAACATTCAGCTGAGTTACGGTCATCATGCTGTACACACAAACAGCCTCCGTAGACTTCAGTCAGATCAGTCGCATTTTACAAAAGGACTTTGCTTCGTTGAGATCAACAGTGTGTACAGCTGTTTTTGTCATTATCCTGCTTTGGTTCATACATTCATTTTTTTATACCAAATGAATCCTAGTCCTCCAATATTTATGCTAAATATCATTGGAATCATACCCCTTACTTATTTTGTGAAAAATGATTTGAAGTGAGCACTAGTTCTCCGGTGATTTCATGTTCAAGGACACATTTTATGCTGAGAAACATTCTGTATTGAGCTTCTTCTGCCTGCCATATGCTCCCAACATTTCATTTTTATCTACATCTGAAAGTTAGTATTGCAAATTACGATTGTGTTGTCAAAACCAACTTTAAAATTGCATTCCACTTCCGACTGTATCTGAGTGTTGCATGCAGCGCTTGTTAAGTCAATAAAAGCAATTTGGCTTTGTATTATGGTCCAAGAGTTTATCAACTATAACTTCATTATCCGAATATAACATAATAATATACATTTTCCATCATCGGCCGGAGCATTGTCTTTACAGGATAATCCCATTTTATAAACACTAAAGCTGAACATTGTATCATCTAATGTACAGTATGACTAAATTACCTCCATCTGCTCCTGGTGTGACTGGTTATGATTAAATAATAAGTAAAGTCATGATTCTGTCAATAAACCTTCAAGATGTGCGCTTTTATTTAAGTGTTGGTTAGGCAGCTGAAGGCCCATCAACACAAGAACACATAGTTCAGGTGCTAATTTGCCAGAAACACTGTAAATATTTCTTGGAAAGTTGTGTTTTCTGTTTTGAAAATGTGTTTTGTTGTGACACCACCATACTGTAAGTGAGTATTTCTGTCCAAGTATCAGCATACTTTGCAGTGTTGCTAAAGTATATTAAGTAAGGCATAATGTGCAGTGAGGCGGTCATTAATGATAAAAGAACACAGACAGGGTGATCAAGATCCCTATCACATTATCCCACGTATTACATTGCAACATACTAACTATACAAAGGGCTTGACTCACAACGTTGATTTAAAATGACCGTATTGCTACAGCTAAAAAATATATATATTCCGCTCCACTGCGTACCAAAGGCAGGAACTGCGGCGACAGCAAGTCTGTTAACATCTTATTTTTCATTAACCAGTCACGCTGCTAGAGTATATCACATTTGATATTATATTGAAAATTTGGACTCTTCAATTTCTGATTTGGTAAATATAATTATTATTTTGGGTAAATACCGTTTACATTGTAGTAAATGGAGAGGAGGCAAGCCCTCCTTTCCCTGTTTCATAAATGAGTTCATGTCCTTTTTTCTGTCCCTTAGAAAAATACAATCTTGTAACATGTCTATAAAGATTTACAATGACATTTCCAAATGGTTATTAAGTAAGCTTAATGCCTCTTAAATGTTTTTGTGACTTTATGCTTTTTCTTTCCCCCTGGCTCTTATTGGATGTATTATTTATGTTTTTCGTCTTATTGTGAATTAATAGGCGATTTCACACCGGAGAACTTTTCCCAGAAATAGTTCCGATAGTTCCTGGGATGTTGAGTTCACACCAAAAATATCTTTTTTTTCGGGAACCTTTTCTCCCCTTTTCAGTCCCTGCTAGAGAGGTGGTACTTTCCTGGGGAGAAAAAGGTTCCCATTTCTGATTGGCTGGGCGAATTGCAAACCACGCCCCGTAAAACTCGGAAAAATGTTGTGAAGCCGCCATTGTGTTTGCTGGCATTAGCATTATTAGCATTAGCATTAGCCCCGCGCACCGACGGAGAGAGACTAAGTTATGGCAGCACAAAAAAAACATGGGAGCGGTGGAGTGATGAGGAGGGTTCGGCGTTCTGGCAATTCACTCGAAGAAAAAACCATGCTAGAGCCCATACTGTGTTCCCTTTAGTGTTTGCTTCCTGTCCGTCTTCTTCATCTGTTCTCTTTAGTGTTTACTTCCTGTCTATCTTCTTCTGTTGATTTCTCTGATGTCTTTTAAAATCTTTCCTTCTCATGCGCTCTTTTTATTTTCTTTACTAGAGGCAGTTCAGCCATCATGAATCCAAAGTTTTGTGCTTTACACAAATATAAAAATGATGCATGATGTATCTGATGGAGAAAAAAGATTGTTGTGCACATCTGGCGTTAAATTGACCGGACTTCTTTCTGTGGATTGATATGACTGCACATAGTCCCCTGATCCTCTTGTAGCTACGGTCTATTCTCATTAGCAGCGGTCTCTTAGCAAAACATTAACAACCTCTGGTTGACCAATGACAATGTAGTATTCAACTAAGCTGTGTGTTAATACAAGTTTATACTTACTAATATAGAAATCAATTTGTAGTGGAAAGACTGTACGCAATTTGTAGAAGATATAAAACTAATATCTGTGTCGATTGTTTAAGAACAATTACCGTTTATTCAGTCTACTGTAGACCATTTCACTTTTATTTGTAATCAAAGTGTTGATAGACATTAGTGCATCAAGAGTTCCAAGCAGAAAAAGAAAAAGTTACTCTTAAAGAACAATTTGCTTCAACATTGTGTAAATATGTTCAATCAAAATGAAAGAACAAAAACAGCTGATTTAAAAGAAAATCCTTTACAAATATGAAGTTTTTTTGGGTGTTTATCTTCTCTGGTGGAGATATTTCAAATGCTTCCAACTGTGCTTCTGTTTTCAATCCAGCCCTCCACTTGGCATCTTTGCTGGAAAAGCACAGACAAAAGGTATTAATTCAATAATGTAAAACTGATCAAATGTAGTTAAAATAATGAGCCGTCTGAGAATAGCACTTACATAATAATGATCAATTCTCGAACAACCTAGAAATAATCCAATAACAACAGAACAGCAGTGAATATTTCAGAACGTCATCTCTTTCACACAAACTGCTCTAATTGAATTCTCATTCACTAAAGTTTGCATGTCTACCCTAGTGTTAAAAAAGTCCAAGAAAATGTGTAAAAGCTGTATTTTTACTAGTTATTAAGGTCGGGCTACAGCTACAGCTACATACACATTATTCGCCAACCTTAAGACCCAAAAAATGTAGATAATTTAAAAATATCTTTTTACCAACTCTGTTTCCTGCTTTCTGGTGAATTTCATTTAACACAAATATCAAAATAAGTGAAGTGTAACAGTATTGACATTACAATACATATTCTTAAGTTTGAATTCTTGTTCTGTGTGAAAATGACTCCATATACTTACAGTAGGTATAGGCAATTCTTCCATTAATGCATTGAACACGGCTGCTCCAATCATCCCAAATACACGGAATATACGTATCCACTCCTTCCTTTACGTATATATCTTGAGATATTATAACATTGGCAATAGTCGTTTGAGCAGGATCTATGACACAGAAAGCCGCTGCACAGAAAGGAAAACGTATGTACAATTACTCGGGTAATATATTTGGGTGATATCTTTTTAGGAACAAAAACTTGTCGTTATGACTCGTTTATACCTTTGCAGGATGGTGGTTCTGTCCACTTGCCATTGCTTTGACACGTCACAATGTCTGGACCCTCTAGTGTGTAAAAGCCATTACATTGGTATTTCAAAAATGTTCCGCTCACTTGCACAACATCTCCGTTTGGAACACTTGGGTAGTCTCTACAGTTGGCGTCTAAAATCAAAAAGAGGCTATTTAATATTTCCATTTAACTTTAAAAACAGGCCGGTCAAAGTTAACGTGTTAACGCTTGAGATTTATCTGGAAACCTAAACGTTTTTAAAATATCTACGCAGACTATTCACATACCAATTGACAACTTCCTCCTATAATTACAGCTCATATGTTTACCATGAATTGTATGGCAGTAAAAAGGCAAAGAAAGCAGAGGAACTGGCACAAGCTGCATGTATTTCCCTGACTGGAGACCACTGGACATCAGGAAGCAGTAACAGCACCATTTAATAAAAGAAGGAAGGAAAGGCATTTTGCTTTGTAATGTAGGAGCCCGTTTCCTGAAGTTTCTCAGGAGTGGAAGACAAGGTTTTTACTGTAGAAATAGTTACTGCTTGCATTATGATAGCGGCAGAAAACAGGAGCATCTGTGTAGCGCACATTATACAGAGCGTGATCACAAAGGCTTGACAGCGTCTTTTGATGCTTTAGCTAAGTGTCGGAAAGTTGACGGACTTCATGCCAATAATTTTGAAATCATCAAAACTGAGCTGAGATGTTTAACAATAAAATAACAAACCTATGATTTGTCTTACCAGTTTGTCATGCATTTCTTTATTACAACATAGCATGTGTATTTCTTTAATCTCCCAAAAATACACTAAGCAAGGTTAATAATAGTATTTTAAACTTGTGATTAATCATGATTAATGATTTTCATCTATTGGTGGGGCTCTTCTCTAGAACTTTCTTTCAAATCAATAACATTTTGAAAGACCTTGTTGACCTTATCTTCACACAGTTCTGCAACTGGTTCTTCAGGTTTCTTTTGCAGATGGTGACTGCTTAATCCACTCCCCCAAGAACTTAACGTTAAATGTTTTCCATGTTGTACTTCTTTCTTTACAGTCTGGTTCATGTTAGCAGAAGTAATCACCATACTGTACTTACATACCATAAAATCAAACAAGTTGGTTGGTCGCAAAGAATATTCTCAGACAGGCAGACTAAAGATGATCTATAACTCAAATTGATGCATTATTTTCTATTCAAAATGGGTAGTGTGTGCTGTCTAATGCCCTATTTAGATTTATTTTAGATAACATCAGATATAAACAACAAATATATTTAGCAACAGGAACATTTGTTAACAATGATGTTTGTGAACGCAAGTTGATGTTAGCTCGAAATGTAAAAACTAACGTCAGCCATACAGTGTAATGTTGTTAACACTCTCTGTAGTCAGATCTAGGAGTGTCATTTTCCCCACGGGGATTAATAAAGGTCCATCTTATCTTATCTTAATGTATAAGTTGATTTACTTCGATCTACTGTACTGTGTAAAAACACCACAATAATATTACAAAAAATATACTGCATATTAAAGCAAACTATTGTAAAGGTAAAGTATGAGCATACAAAATAAAGAAGTGTAAACATTTACATTATTATTTTGATTATTTAATATATAAAGACTAAATATTATTGAATTACAATTAAGATAATAAGATTAGATATACTTTATTTGAAAACCATAACAAATAAGTGATTAAATGCTCTTCAGCAAACACAACTGCAGAGCTGCAAACATTGTAAACAGACTAAGTTCTACTGTACTGTATTTGTGAATGAAGCGCCATCTCATGGTTAAATCCTTTAATTGAACAAATGGGGGAAATTTGGCAACGCCCCCAGCCACTGGGATCCGCTGGGTTTTTGGTTGGAATCCGCTGGGTGGAGTCCTATCTGGAGTGCTACATCTGTACAGTGTAATGTTGTTAACACTCTCTGTAGTCAGATCTAGTAGAGTGTAATTGTTTCTCTTAATTAGCTGTTGTTTGCTCACATTCACTTTTCCAATTGGAGTTAACTGACTGACCGCTTTTGAGTGTCATGAGAGCCAATGGCAAAATCAGAATGCTTAATTTGAGCTACCTGTTTTTTTAAACTACCTTCTTCTAGCTGAAGTCATCCCACTGCCATCTAATGTAAGAAATCGGCCTTCAGATAAGTTTATGGAGAGATCAGATCAATGCATTTACCCACTCATATTTCATACTGATCAATAAACTACTGCCAATAGATGTAATGTGTCCTCCACCATGTCCAGTACTGCTGCCTGGGTGGGAATAAGACAACACATTAAATATAATCCTACAAATGTATCTATGGAGAGATTGGAACAAAGGATTTTAATCATTCATACTTTATAAAGGTAAATAAACTACCTCCACCTGCAGGTTGCCCACTGCCAGGAGATGTAGTGTGTCCTCCACCTGTTCCTCCCACTGTGGATCCACCATGTCCAGTATCAGGTCTTCTGTCTGAGTGGACATATCAAATACATTTCAAGGCCTATATATATGGAGTGGTTAGATAATTGGATTAACTCATATTTCATAGTCGTATTGATTATGAATCAGTAAACTACCTCCACCTGCAGGTTGTATCCCACTGCCAGCAGATGTAGTGTGTCCTCCACCTGATCCTCCCACTGTGGGTCCACCATGTCCAGTATCAGGTCTTCTGTCTGAGTGGACATATAAAATAAATGTCAAGGCCTATACATATGGAGTGGTTAGATAATTGGATTAACTCATATTTCATAGTTGTATTGATTATGAATCAGTAAACTACCTCCACCTGCAGGTTGTATCCCACTGCCAGCAGATGTAGTGTGTCCTCCACCTGATCCCACCTCTGCAGCACAAATTATTACATTTAAAGGACGAGAGAACCAAGTCCTTTAAAGCAGTTTTAAATACACACAGAGCTTTATCTTTTACTAGTTTATTTTTTTATTTATATTTGGTAAGATGTCTCCCTGTTTGTAGAACTTGTTGGGGAAATGAACTTTGCCCCATAATCTGTTCATCCAATGGTAGTAGTAAAAAGGTTTTCCACTGATTTTTGGGGACTGTATTTCTGATAAAAGGTAAATAACTTCAGTTGAATGGACACTACACATACTTATCATTAAAGTGTATTCTTCACCAATGTAATTCATGGAACATTATGTGGTCAATTTCTCTCAGAAAAAGATAAGTAGATTCCTCATTCCTAGTTTAAGTGTGAATTTTGACGCTAGCAGACTTTATAAAGTTTAGCTAGCTAGCATGACCTAATGCTAAAAGCCAAGGTGGTTTGAAAACTCTAAATAGCCTTTAAAAAGGTCTTAAATATTGACCTAATGGATAATGATATAACGCTTAAAGATGGAGGGTACAGCTGCATGTTCCTAACAAAAAAACAGAAGCCGTTTCCTCCTCACTCCTAGCTAAAGACTGTGTGAATAAAGACAGATTTGATCAGCTGTACAGCTAGCTAGCTAGCTAGCTAGGGCTACTGCTGGGATTCAAAGTTGTTTAAAAACATAACAGTCTTTTAAAATATCTTTTAAAAAGGTACTTAAGAAATACAAACATGATATAATACTAAAAAACGAGTTCAAAGGCAAATGTTCAGGGGTGTAGTGCTATCTTTACAAGTACCGGAGCGCACCCATGACTCGCTCATGCATGCACATGCACAGTTGTGGCATGACCACCAAAAGCGAAAGATATGGACACAAGAAGTGTGCAATTGTATCTAGTATCCTATCCATCTGACCATGATTTAAGTGGGGGAACATCCTCTAGGGGGGTCAACACCCATATGAAACAGAACTGTAAACAGATTTTATTTTTCTTCATGGATATTTTACAAATCATTCCCCTTTTAAACTGTACTCTTGTTTTATCGTCATATAGTATTTCATACCTGTTTTTCATTTATTCTCTTATTTTTGTATAACTATAATGATCATATAAAGGTGTGCCTTTACATCACTGAGCTGAGCTGGCGTTCCGGTGCGCTCCGGCAGCACTACACCCAGTTCCTACAGCCTGTATCCAACCCATATGGAAATAAAAGAGCAGTATTTTTTCTGTACTGTACTAGTTTGCCCTAGTAAAGCACATTATCCTAACAACAATTGTAAAATAGTTTTTCAGTCATTTGAATATTTCTTAGTCTTACCATTCATACTATTCAACGTTTTTTCTCAAAACCTTTGAAGTATAGGCCTAAAAGTATTATATTTTATTTTCAGTATTAGTCTCGTCCTTTAATGCATTTTTTATTTGAATCTGTCTGGTTTTAATAACCATTCTGTTGTCTTACATTTGATATCTATGTTAAATGTTAGCTTAGTTACAGGGTAGCTTTTGTCATATATGGTACATTTGAGGGCAATTGTAATGCTGTGTTACACGGACCCTGACTTGCTTAATACGATTTTTCTTTTCTTCTAACAATTTAAATGTTTTGTGTTAAATAACCTTTCTACATAAAGTGTATTTTTAATCTATTTATATAGTAGTTTCATAGTCTAATAGAGCCATTTTCTAATGCTTTTCACTATTTGAAATGGCCATGCATGTCACGATCTGTCTGTGTTGTGTTTTGTCTTGTCTTTTTCTGTCTCTGGTTTCCTGTTTTGTTTTGAAATGTTTTCCTCCTTGTGTCTTCTCTGTTCCTTCTTCCTGTGTTTGCCTTCCTGTCATTAGTTTCCCTGGTGTGTCTGATTGTTTGATTGTGTTCACCTGTTGCCCTTGTGTTTCTGCCTCCCTTACCCCAGCTGTTTCTCGTCTTGTGATTACCCCTCTCTGTATTTAGTCTTGTCTTCCCCTGTGTGCCTTGTCGGTTCATTGTTTGTTTCTCCTGTCTCCCACCATGTTGGTCACGGTCAGTTTTCTGTAGAACCTATGTGTTTCATGCCATGCTATTGTTAAGCTTTAAGAATAAAGCTCGTTTTTGTTTCGAGACCGTTTACCTTTTCTGATAGTCTGCATTTGGGTCCTACCCTTCCACGCATTCCTTACAGAATGAACCGACCAAATATGGACCCAGCGGATTTTGAAGATTTTAAGGTAGATCTGTTCGATCTAGACTTTACCCTTCAATGTTACTATGTCGAGTGGAGTGGAACCTCGTCAAGAAAGGACAAAGAGGCTATCCTCAAGAAGGCACAGATGGCGGTGTCTAACATGCCATGGCTGAGGAGCTCGTTGCCTGAATGGCTCAGAGTTTTTGCACGTAGCCCCGAGTGCCAGTCTCCATTCTCTGACCCTTTTTTGGGATCCCGTCTGGCGTTTGGAGGTCCACGGAGCCTCCAAAGGACCTCAAAGAAACGCAAGGTCAGGAAGCCAGCTCATAATCCAGTACCGGCCCACACAGCCATGGATCCGTGCACCAGTACCGGCCCACACAGCCATGCTTCCGTGTTCGATTACCTGGCTCACACAGTCAGGTTCCAGGCTTCTGTTCCATGCCCAGCAGCCAGGGTGCCTGCTCCAGTACCGGCCCACACAGTCATGGTTCCGTGCACCAGTACAGCCCCACACAGTCATGGTACCGTGCTCCAGTACCATCCCACACAGCCATGGTTCCGTGTTCCGGTTCCGTGCCCAGCAGCCAGGGTGCCTGCTCCAGTACCGGCCCACACAGCCATGGTTCCGGCCCCAGTTCCGGCCCCAGCAGCCATGGTTCCGGCCCCAGTTCCGGCCCCAGCAGCCATGGTTCCGGCCCCAGTTCCGGCCCCAGCAGCCATGGTTCCGGCCCCAGTTCCGGCCCCAGCAGCCATGGTTCCGGCTTCAGTTTCGGCTCCAGTACTGGCTCACCGGCCGCCGCCAGCCCCCCGTGTCCTGTCGGTGGTCCGGCCGACTCCAGCACCTCGTGTCCTGTCGGTGGTCCGGCCGACTCCGGCACCTCGTGTCCTGTCGGTGGTCCGGCCGACTCCGGCCCCCCGTGTTTTGTCAGTGGTTCGGCCCACTCCAGCCCCTCGTGTTCTGTCGGGGGTCCGGCCGACTCCAGCACCCCGTGTCCTGTTGGCTCTATGGCCGACGCCTACCCCATGTCCTGTGATGTTGGAGGTCCCGCCGACTACTCTTCTGCCGGGGGTCCTGCCAACCCTATGTCCTGTGATGTTGGAGGTCCCGCCGACTACTCTCCTGCCGGGGGTCCTGCCAACCCTATGTCCTGTGATGTTGGAGGTCCCGCCGACTACTCTCCTGCCGGGGGTCCTGCCAACCCTATGTCCTGTGATGTTGGAGGTCCCGCCGACTACTCTCCTGCCGGGGGTCCTGCCAACCCTATGTCCTGTGATGTTGGAGGTCCCGCCGACTACTCTCCTGCCGGGGGTCCTGCCAACCCTATGTCCTGTGATGTTGGAGGTCCCGCCGACTACTCTCCTGCCGGGGGTCCTGCCAACCCTATGTCCTGTGATGTTGGGGGTCCTGCCAACCCTATGTCCTGTGATGTTGGAGGTCCCGCCGACTACTCTCCTGCCGGGGGTCTTGCCAACTCCATGTCCTGTCCTGTTGGGGGTCCCGCCGACACCTGTCCTGCCAGGGGTCCTGCCAAATCCATGTCCTGTCCTGTTGGGGGTCCCGCCGACACCTGTCCTGCCAGGGGTCCTGCCAACTCTGTGTCCTGTCCTGTTGGAGGTCCCGCCAACTCTGTGTCCTGTTCCAACGGGGGTCCTGCCAACTCTGTGTCCTGTTCCGTTGGGGGTCCAGTCGACACCAGCCCATGTCATGTTCAGGACCCCGTCTACGCCTGTCCCGTCGGTTCCGGTTCCTGTCCGGCCGATACTGGTTCCTGCTCGTCCTCCGGAGCTGTCCCGTCGGCGCCTTCCTGCCCGGCCTCCGGAGCTGTCCCGTCGGCGCCTTCCTGCCCGGCCTCCGGAGCTGTCCCGTCGGCGCCTTCCTGCCCGGCCTCCGGAGCTGTCCCGTCGGCGCCTTCCTGCCCGTCCTCCGGAGCTGTCCCGTCGGCGCCTTCCTGCCCGTCCTCCGGAGTTGTCCCGTCGGCGCCTTCCTGCCCGTCCTCCGGAGCTGTCTCGTCGCCGCCTTCTTGTTCGCCCTCGAGCCCGGCCTCCTGAGTTCTCCAGCCGCGGTCTTCGCCCTCGGGCTCGGCCTCCTGATTCTTCCGGCCGCTGCCTTCGCCCTCGAGCCCGGTCCCCTGAGAGCCGCTGCCTTTGCTCTCATGCCCGGCCCCCTGAGTTCGCCCGCTGTGGCCGTCGCCCCTTTTTGGACTCTGCCTTGCCCCCGGGCCGTCCGCCCGGGACCCCTTTCGGGCCCGTCCTCCGGACTCCCTCCACCCACCCTTTTGGAAGTGTTAGACTATGTTTTTTGGGACGTCTGGGATCCGTCCCTTGAGGGGGGGGTTATGTCACGATCTGTCTGTGTTGTGTTTTGTCTTGTCTTTTTCTGTCTCTGGTTTCCTGTTTTGTTTTGAAATGTTTTCCTCCTTGTGTCTTCTCTGTTCCTTCTTCCTGTGTTTGCCTTCCTGTCATTAGTTTCCCTGGTGTGTCTGATTGTTTGATTGTGTTCACCTGTTGCCCTTGTGTTTCTGCCTCCCTTACCCCAGCTGTTTCTCGTCTTGTGATTACCCCTCTCTGTATTTAGTCTTGTCTTCCCCTGTGTGCCTTGTCGGTTCATTGTTTGTTTCTCCTGTCTCCCACCATGTTGGTCACGGTCAGTTTTCTGTAGAACCTATGTGTTTCATGCCATGCTATTGTTAAGCTTTAAGAATAAAGCTCGTTTTTGTTTCGAGACCGTTTACCTTTTCTGATAGTCTGCATTTGGGTCCTACCCTTCCACGCATTCCTTACAATGCATCAAGTTTATTTTATTATTATTTCTAATTATTGTTGAATCAGT